TTTGTAACAAATTCGTGGAAACAATCAACATGTCAGTTTAGATACTTTACTGGCCAAAATAGGAGAAAGACAAGTTTCTGAAATTAAGAGGACTAGCCTTTGGAAAGTCCTACAAAAAGGTAATTGTATTAATCAGCCTATATGACAATTTGAACTCGTTTTGTTTATGTTCGCTGTAGCTGAGATAGTAGCATTTACTACTTTTCCGCTACGACATCTGTTTTTTAATTTTACTTAAAACCACTACGATTGTGTTGCTCATATTTTTGTTGAATGTGAAATTCTTATATAAAAGGTAGCGTTAAAAATCCTATACGTATTTTACAAAGAAATACATTATTCACGTATAACAATAATACATTTAGTAATATTTATGTACCCTACCCTTCGGGTATTTCAACCTGGGGAAATTTGAAACCGATATTTATGAACTACATGACCTTTAATTTATTGCAATGGACACACATGATAATAGTAATAAAAGAAAGTATAAAATAAATTATTCTCAATAGTTTATTTGGATTTTAATGCATATACAGCTGGTTCCTAAAAAAACTGATCATGAGCAGTGTATTTGATTGGTCTGACATTATATTATATTTATTAGATAGACAAATAATAAAATAAACACAAAAACATCAAACAATTAATAACATATGTTAATTCATTCTTCTTCTAGTTCCATGACCGTTATCGATCGTTGGATATCATGTTGGCTACCATATTCGCTATCGTGACTTTATTGACAGCAGCTCTAAATAACTATCTAGTTGATTTTCCATACCATTGCCTTAGATTTTTCAGCCATGATGTTCTTCGTCTACCAGGACCACGATTACCTTGGATCTTTCCCTGAATGATCAAATGTAAAAGATCATATTTTTCAGGGTGTCTCATAATGTGACCGAAGTATTCCAGCTTGCGTTTCTTTATTATATTGGCCAGTTGTATTGTTTGGCTCAGCCGTCTAAGGACCTCCTCATTTCTAACTTTGTCGACACAGCTTATTTTGAGTAGTCGTCTGTATACCGACATCTCAAAGGCTGTCAAGCGTTTAAGCATAGCCTCAGTTAGAGTCCACGCTTCCACCTCATACAGCAGGACAGGAAAGATGTGGCAAGATATCATACGAACTCTAAGGTCAATGCTAAGATCGTGACTGCAAAGTACGTTTCTCATTTTTACAAAGGCAGCTGGGGCTTGTTCTATTCGACTTTTAATTTCTGCGGTTGGATCCCAGCTCTCATTGATATTACTACCGAGATACACGAGTTTCTCTACTCTGTCCAGTGTGACATTTCCGACTTTTATACTATATCATCTTGTATATAATTTTGTTTGCTAACTATCATATATTTAGTTTTCTTAACGTTTAGTTTTAATCCAAAGTGATCACAAGTCTGTTTTATTTTGTTCATTAGATTTTGAAGGTCTTCTCCACAATTGACAAGGACTAAGGTATCATCGGCATATCTAATATTGTTGACGGTTACTCCATTCACAATAATACCTTCGGTTGTCTCCATTAAGGCTTCCTTAAATATTTCCTCCGAATATAAGTTAAAAAGTAAAGGCGACAATACATGTGCATGTGCGACAAATGTTAATTCATAAATTGTAATAATTATTAAGGTCTAAATTTTGATATTATTTTGAATTCCTGCATTTTATAAAGAGTATTCGCTCCGTGCGTGACCATGGTAGGGGTACCTTGAAACGATGCCAGCGTGCATAGCGACGAAATATGACAAAATTGGACCTATCTTTTTACGCCTAATTTTTTTCAAAAATGTTGTGTATTTAATTGTGCTAATATTAGCAAAAATAGTAGTAAATATAGGTTTCTAAAGATTACATATAAATTAGAGAAAAGAAAAAGATGAATTCGTGCTATTAATATGAAAAAGTAAATATCACATAATTTCATTTTTATGCAATTGAAAGAGAAAAAAAAAATACTTACCTTAAAGGATATTTCATAAGCCTTCAAGCTAACTGCAGCCTGCCTGGTGACTTTAGTGTTTATGTCATAATTTTACTATTATTGTTTTGAATTACATTGGGAACAAGAAACTCTTGAAAAAAAGCGAGGGTCTGGAAGACCAAAACTATACTAAATTTAGGTAGATAACAGTAAAATATAACATGTGAAGACATAAAAGATAATATCTTAACAACAGCAGAGGAGACGATAAGACTAATGGAAGACAATAAAAGAAATTGGTACGATGAAGAGTGCGAGCAAGCTAGTAAAGACAAGGACAAAGCAAGACACAGGTGGGTTGCCACAGGGAAACAGGAAGATCTCCTACACTATAAAGAGAAGAAGAAAGAGTCAGATAAATGCTGCAAAACAAAAAAGAAGAAATGGATCGAAGAATTACTGCAAGAACTCGAAGCCAATAGTAATGACAATGCAAGACTATACAAATACATAAAATCACAGAGAAAAAAGAGATACCAGCAAATATTGGAAAAATGGAATAGAAAACATACTATAGAGAACTGTTTAAAAAGAAAGACGATGCTGAAAACGCAGAATATTTAGAACAAACAGAAAATAGGAATGGAGAACAATCAGGGCCTCCCTCATACAGCGAAGTATTGGCGACTATAAACAGATTACACACAAGGAAAGCAGCAGGACCAGACGACATTTTAAATGAGTTCTTCGAGAAAGGAGGAGAGGAACTAGCCCACAGAATACACAACCTAATAGAACGAATATGAGAAGAAGAACGCATGCCGAACGACTGGAATTGTGGTCTGATAACACCAATCCCTAAAAAAGGCGACAAGACGAAATGCACTAACTACATATTAACTAATTTGATCAGACAAAGAATAGAAAAAGAAACTAGAACAAAAATAGGTGAATACCAACATGGATTCAGAGAAGATAAGTCAACAATAGATGCAATACACATTGTAACGCAAATAGTCGAAAAAAGTTACGAGCACGAAATAGATCAACATATACTGTTAATTGACTACAAGCAAGCTTTTGACAGTGTAATAAGGGAGGAGCTAATAAAGGATATGAATAAATTAGGCATCCAAGAAAAAGTCTCACGAAAATGACGATGAAGGAATCCAAGGCACGAATCTTAACATGGGAAGGCCCGTCAGATGAAGTACAGATGGAGGTAGGTGTCAGACAGGGAGACTCTCTGTCAACAACATTATTTAACATTGCCATAGAGGGGGCAGTAAGAGCAGCAAAAATTATGGGAACCATTATCGAATCTTCAGCCCAACTGATAGCGTATGCAGACGAGATATTGCACTGGTTACTAGAGATTTAAAAACCATGCAGAACATAATATTAATATTAGATAAAGAAGCAAAGACGACAGGGCTAGTAATAAACCAAAGCAAAACGAAATAACCCAAGTGTTCAAGAGAGAATACGAACATAGAGAAATAAATTAAGGTTGGTGCATATACATTTGAAAGAGTACACCGTTTCAAATACCTGGGAGTGATGGTGAATGACAGAAATGATAGAACATATAAAATAAATGAACGCATCCTACTGGGTAATAAAACCTACTGAAACTACCAAAAATTCCTGAAAGAAAAGCACAATAGTAAGAAAACCAAATTAAAAATTTACAAGACTGCAATCAGACCAGGGATCACCTATGGTGCAGAGATGATGTGCCTAACACAGAAAGATGAAATGAGGTTGGAAATCTTAGAGAGAAAGATAATTCGACGAATAATGGGACCGGTGAGGATAAGTGTAAGCGAATTTAGAAGATTAACCAATGGAGAATTTAAAGAAGTCATCGAGGGTGAAGACATAATCAAGTTCGTGAAGACGCAAAGGCTCAGGTAGCTGGGCCACACAGAAAGAGCTAATCCAAACTCTACGCTAAAGCGAATAACTGGATGGAGACCAACAACAAAAAAACCAAAGGGGTGACCCAAAGCAAGATGGAGAGATCAAGTCTTAGGAGACATAAAGAAGTTGAAAATCTACAATTGGAAGTAGCGCTGTAAGGACCAGAAAGAATATAGGAAAATTGTATACAGGGCTAAGTAACACACGCTGCTATATTAATAAAAAAAAAACAGCGGACTGATTCTCCGCAATAAATAAATCAGAGAGCCCAAAAGGGCGGCAAACACTCCGCCAGGAGTGAATAAGCCATGATGATGATATAAGCCGAATGACAACAAATAGAGTAGTAAAGAAGACAAGAGACGGTTTCCAATAGGAAGACGATCAGTAGGAAGACCACGAAAACGATGGAACGACAAATTACTGGAGGTACATTGAAAAACAGATAGAGTCATATCTATATTAAAAAAAGATTAAGAGGAAGAAGAAAATAGCATGCGAAAATTGTTTCGTGTTTATTTGTTTATTACCCTGATTTTATTGTTTATTACCCATTATTTTATTTTTAGACTATTTACTACTTATTAACTATTTTATTCTGTGGAAATACAGAAATGTTAAAAATCTGCGCGAAACGTATTATAATAAATTAGCGATGAATATACGTACTATTGTCTAACAGTAGTACTAATAAAATCAAATTAATTAAAGTTAAATAAACGTCAAATTTACACCTCATCATACTTCACTTAATCTAATTTTCAAGTGTTATCCCCCCCGAATGTCAGCAAGGACAGATATATATTATTGTAGAAAATGGAGTGCAACTTCTTAGCGCCACCAAAGATTCGCACTCCACTAAGCAAAACGCATCGTTAGATCGATTGTTATAAAATTGAATTACGATCGATCGATCAATAAAACTGACTTTGATCGTTTACAATACAAAACAATTAACGATGGTGGAATCCGTTCGTTTTGTCGCGAGCCTGGTCTTTTTGTAAACCATTTTCCATTTTGTTATTGTGATAATGGTAGTTTTCGGTCTAATCGGCCCATTATTGTACCACTCCTACGTTATTGTGATTGTGAGTTCGTTGTATATTCGGATATAGTGTTCTCAAATTTTTGCTCAACTACAACATAGTATTTTATTGTTAACAGTGCTTCATTTCCATTTTGTGCCTTAAATCGTAAGTAAAATTTCACGTTTACTATTAATAAAAACAACCAAAAAGGTGTATATATACGATGGAAAATGGCGCCCTTTTAATTTTATCTGCAAATCATAATACTAATCTGATATATTCAAATCATAAGATTATTTAAAAATGCTAATAACAATTATAAACCGATAAGTCGCAAATTACAATCATAAGTTATTTAAAGAGATACCAATAATCTATTAATTTAAAAGATAATCGACTTATCTGGTCTATAATTTCTAAATAAATAAATCTTATTTCTTGATTTTTTATTTAAACTGATAAATGTTGCAGCTGTAATATAATTTGTAGTGCATTTAAACGATTGATGAACACTAGACGCAAAAGTTTGTTTTTTTTTCATCGTTTCAGTTAGAACATATTTTCTGATTTTAAATAAGTCTTTACATTACTTCTTCTTAATCTCCATACGGAGGTTGGCAATCATAATGGCTATTTTTATTTTATAAATTGCTGCTCTAAACAGATCAAACGATCTGCATTGATACCAATCACATAGATTCTTTAACCATGAGTTCTGCCTTCGGCAACAGATCTTCTTCCTTGAATCTTTCTCTGTATTATGAGTCTCAAAATTTCATATTTTGGTCCCCTTATCACGTGGCCTAGGTATTTAGTTTTCTGGTTTGTATTGTGGTGATTAGTTTTGTTTCTTTACCAACCCTCTCCAGTATTTCTTTATTTGTAATTCTATTGGTCAATGATATTTTTAATACTCTGCAGTATAACCAGAGTTTGAAAGCCTCGATTATTTTTAAATTGCATTTTTTTAGTGTCCAAGTCTTAGCTCCATATAATAATATTGAAAATATATAACAGCGAATGGTACGTAGTCTGATCTCCAAATTTAGATTTTTGCACGTTGGGAGTGGCTTCATTCGTATAAATGCTGATCTGGCAATCTCTATTCGCCTGTTTATTTCTGTAGTATGATTATTGGTTTCATTGATCAAAGTTCCCAGGTACTGATATTTTTCTACTTGTTCTAACACGTTACCATTTATTGTCAATAGGTAATGTATATTTTGTGGTCTTTTTGTAATTATACTTGTTTTTTAAGCGTCATCTCAGCACTATTCATACTTGAGCTTTCGAAATAATGTTGTAGATCTTCTATATTCGTTGCTATGATCACAGTGTTATCAGCATATCATAGGTTGTTAATTAATTTTCTGTTGACAGTAACTCCCGCATTGATCCTATTGAGTGTGTTTTGGACAAATTTCTTTAGAATATAAGTTAAACAAAAGTGGCAATAAAATACATCCCTGTCTAACTTCTCTACAGGTCTTCATTTCTTCTGAGTGTTGCCCATCAATTTGAACTATGGTACTTTGGTTCTAATATAATGTTTGCACTATATTTATGATTTTACTGTCAATGCGCTTGTTTATAAATATTGATATTAGTTTCTCATGCCTTACTTTCTCGAAAGCTCTTTCGTAGTCAACAGAGCACACCTGTAGATCAACGTTTACATACCGACATCGCTATATCAATATGTTAATGGCAAATAGTCCTTCTCAAGTACCCATTCCATTTCGGAACCCAAACTGCGTCTCGCTAATATCCTCCTCTAGCCTTTCGTATATTCTCTTATGTATTATTTTCAGCAGTACTTTTAAAGTATGAGACATAAGACTCAGTCTTCGATAATTAGAGGACTCTTTTACTGCTTGTTTTTTAGGAATGGTTATAAATGCTGACTTCAGCCACTCTTGTGGTATTATTCCCGTATTGTAAACCGTGTTGAATAAATCTGCCAATACATCTTCCATATATATATATATATATATATATATATATATAATATATATATATATATATATATATATATATATATATATATATATATATATATTCCAGGTTATCCTCTTCCACTAGTTTTAACAGTTCTACTGGTATTTCATCTTATCCAGCTGCCTTATTGTCTTTAGAGTTTTTGATAGCATATTTGATTTCATCTTATCTCATCATTTTTACCTCTTTCATCTTGGAAAAGTTCTCTAATGTACTCGTCTCATCGTGTTAATTTCTCTGGTAAATCTATTAGTAGTACTACTTTTTTGGCTTCTATATGTCCGTGATATCTATTTCGACCCATTCCAGTCACTTCTCTTATTTTTTTGTGTATATTTCTCATATCATGTTTTGTTTCTAGTTCTTCTCTTTACATTGTTTCATCAAATACATTTCCTTAATTGTTTTAATTTTTGCCTTAATTATTCGTTGTGTTTCTTTATACTTTGTATTTCCTTCTTTCTTCTATCTGTAATAGTATTTCTTCTGTCATCCATTGTTTTTTAGCCTCTGATCTATGTTGTATTAAACTTTCTTGAGCTGGTTTTAGTAATGTGTTTTCTTTATCTTATTACTAAAGCTACTCAAAATCTAGTGTTTACTCTAAGGCAGCGTTTCCCAAAGTTTTTGGTCGAGGAACACTATTCAGGATAGAAATTCTGTAGGGAGCACTTACCATATTACCTAAAGCCACAGAGAACGAGAGATATTTAGTAAGTGATGGGATATTAACCAACATTTCCTATTCACTTTTTTTATTTTTTCTTTTCTTTTTCCATTTATTTTTTCAGTCAATTCTATTCAAAGTTTAATTACATATAACGAAAAACAAAAATAAAGCGAACACACAGACCCTATGTCTAAAATTTAAAATAAAGTAATGACTTCATTTTACTGTGAAGAATGTGGCTACCTTGATTTGCACAGGTTGTAATATCCGGTTGAATTTGGGATAACTGCAATCGAATGTCAGGTTCCGCATTCAGTAGAGATCTATATTTTGTTTTAGTATCCACATAGGCAGATAATGCTGCTTCACATAAGTTCAATGATACTTCAAAATACGCGTGTAATTCGTTTTAATTTTCCCCATTGAAATTAACTGAAATGTCATTAATCTGTTCCAGTCTCCAAAAAAACACGTTAGTTATTTTTGTTCATCATCATCAATGGTGCTACAGTATAAAAAGAGCCTCGACCTTCCCAAGTCTATTACGCCAGGCAGTCCTATCCATTGCCAACTGTTGCCAGTTTGCTGCGCCTATCTTTCTACCATCCTCATCTACACCATCTTTCCATCTGAGTTTTGGCCTACTATTTCTAAGGATTCTTCTAGGAGGGTTGTTCTGCTGTGATCTTGTTAGATGTCCTGCCCATCTTAGTCTTCCTATTCTTATAAAAGATACTACGTTTTTACCACCAAATATTTGTTTATATCTGTGGTATACCTTGTAGTAAATGGCCCTTCGAAAAGGGGGTTTGGCGTTGGGCTAACTACCCAACCCTGTAGAAACCCATAGTTACGAAATCTAAAGTTATTTTTGTTAAGTAGTTTTAAATACGAAACATGTATTTTAAGAAAAAACATTTATATATAGATCTTCGCTTTTTTCGTCATACTTTACCCATTTTCATCTGTAGATTGCAACTTTCTTCCACATTTCCAGGATCTCCTTAATATCTCTTGTAGAGACAACATCTTTCAATTCTGGCTCCTCTTCAAAACTAATTTTTCGTTGAACCACCGTATGCTGCAGCGAATGTAGTTCGTCTTACTCACTGGTTGTCAGCTCCTGAGACCGTTCCTCAACAAGTTCATTCACATCTCTTTCACCCACATCAACACATATCGATTTTCCAAGAGAAACAATCTCATCTACATTGACACTTTCGGTTCCAGTCCTTCGCAGGCCCTTTCATTTACAGCCTCAGGGCACAGCTTCTTAAGGTCCTTGTTGTAACACCTAGTCAGGCCTGCTCAATAATTATTAGGCATATTACTATGTTAAAGTGGTTCTTCCAGAACTAATTCTTAGGCATATTACTATGTTAAAGTGGTTCTTCCAGAACCCTTGGAAAGTAAGGTTTGAGTTCTCTGTCACCTTAAAACAGCGCCGAAAAATGTGCTTTGTATACAACTTTGTAACATTAGAAATCACTTGCTGATCCAGGGGCTGCAAGATAGGAGTGGTGTTGGCTGGTAGGTAGAGAATCTGTATAAACTTGAACTCGTGAAGTAAATTATCTTCGAGACTTGGTGGGTGAGAAGGGGCATTATCGAGGACAAAAAAGATTTGCGAGGGTAAGTTGTTTTAATATAGATATTTTTTAACAGAAGGAACTAAACCAGGTTTGGTTTATCCAATTCACAAACAATTTCTTGGTGACCCATGCCCTTGGATTTGCTCTCCACACAACTGGCAGTTTTTATGTTAAAACTTATGTGATTTAAAGGCTCTGGGATTTTCTGAATGGCACACTACAAGAGGTTTGATTTTACGGTCGCCACTCGAATTGGCGCAAAGAAATAGAGTTAATCCATCTTTCATACGTTTGTGACCTAGCATCGTCTTTTCCTCTGCCGTTATGTAAGTCGTATTCGGCATATTTTTCCAGAAAAGCCCTGTCTCTTCACTGTTGAAGACTTGCTAGGGGATGTCTCCTTTTGCTCGGAGAAGAAAACGTTTTTATGTAAACCTCAGCTGCTTTCACATCCGAACTTGCTGTCTCACCATGCCTTACAATGAAATGAATGCCAGTCCTTTTTTCTAAGTTGTCAAACCAGCCCCGACTGGCTTTAAAACGAGTCTTCCGATTCAATATTTGTGGCAGTGATCACACTTATCCCACTTATCACATATGGTGCTTTGTGTTAAGGTTCCTTCTTAAAGCTGCTTCTCTGTTACCCACACCATTAGTAGTTTTTCCATCTTTTCATAGAGAGAAGTCTGTAGCTTAGAATTATTGTAACGCCCTTAGGTAGCATTATACCATTTACCACCGTCTTCTTTTACTTTAAATAATACTTTAAAAAAGAGAAAAAGAAGGAAAACAGACAGACTGAGGTCTATATTAAAAATTTACACAATGTACAAGTAGTCAAACAACAGGTACGAATTTGAATAAAAAACGATTCCTTGAATCTTAAATCTTGCTCTCATCTCAAA